AAATAAAGTCACTGCCCCTTGCTTCATCCTGGCGAAGCATTGTATTCCAGCAAATTTAGGCTGTAATTCTGGGGAGCATTTGGCCCCTAATGACAAAGGAACAAACGAAAAGCGTATGAACTGTGCAATCAGTCAACGGCTCCCAATGGGCGCGATTCCCTGAATTCGCTCCGCTGCCTTGCGGGTAGGGTATTCAGCCAAAGACTCGGGGTAGTGTCCCCTAAGTCAACACCCTACTTCGGCTTGGGCAACCGGGTAGTATCTCGCCCTCTGATGAAACCATAGACTTTGATGTTTTGTGTTGTGTTTTCTTTTACTAGTTCTGTACCCCACGGTTTCTGATGGCTTTAAGTCCATTCGTAGACAGTTGCAAATATATATATATATATATATATATATATATATATATATATATATATATATATGCATCCACCAAGCTAATCCAACAGTAATTCGGCGGTCATAAACAAAGCGAGGAAGATATACTGAAAGCCACTTACAAAGGGCACTAGAAGCGAAACAGTTTGATGAACAGTTGATACAGGACACTGCATAGTGATAACTGACGATAAAATAACCGATGATGTGACCGCATCCATGATCACGAGTGTACGTGATGGGTGAACAAGATCAAAGCTGGTTAACGCGCTGAAACATGCAAAGTAAGCTTAATGCACGGGTGCATTAGGTGAAAAGGTGGTATGCAATATTAAGAGACAGGCAATTTGTGGCGTCCATCGTTTTGTGAACATAAACTAACAGTACACGACGGTGTGTGTGTAGAAGCTGTACTTTTAATAAGGTGAACTGGGTTAATGTACAGTTGAAAAAATTGCCACCATTGTCGTTATCATACACACACACACACACACATATATATATATATATATGTATATATATATATGTATATATGGTTGGCGGCATCCGGTTTCGGATTTGTCTGTCACTGTGGCCAGCCACAGGACGCCTGCGTCTACAAAGGGACCATGGGTGGCTTGCGCTGCACCACCCACAGCTCCAACCACACATCCCATATCCAGTGTAAACCCGAAAGAATAAGACCGGGAGGCATGTGGATGGGAGCCACGTTTCATCAACGGAACCGGCCCACACTTCTTCGCAGGCAAACACAAGCACGCTGTAGTTGGGGAATCAAGCACACACAAGACGGTGGCTCGACCGTAGTCCGCTCCACACTGAGTGCATGGAATCGCTTTTCGAGCCTAGCACGGCCACAAGGACCGTGCACCCCGTCCCCTCCAGCAACGACCAACTGTCTCCTGGAGCCAGTATGAACGAGGTAGTGGGTAATAGACAGGTAGGCACCTTGTCAACATACACATCAAGCGCAGCCACACCGGGGATGTCAAGCAACAGCCATTCACTTGAAACGACAAGATGAAATAAAATAAATACAATAATGCATACAGATACGGTGACATAACTCTTCGCTAAATTAGCATATGAAGTAAGTTGGTTAGCAACGATTCCGCGATAAGTAAGAAATGTCCACAAGTTACTTAAAAATGCTAAAAACGCAACAAAATTACCGAAGATAAGCGCAATTAGCGCAAGCAACGTGGCCAGTTAATAGAAGATTACTAAGTAAGCAGAACAAACTAAAGAAAGTGGAATGAAATGTATCCAGCTTAAAAAGACCTAGTTTAAGTATAAGTTGGTATATATATATATATATATATATATATATATATATATATACGTATGAGGGTATGCGGGTGTTCTCCGAGTTCGCTTCAAAGGTTTCATCGTCAGGCTAGACGACATCATGTTTGATCGAGAGCCAAAAGTGAGTTGCACACATGTGACTCTTTCATGCGGTCCGGTCTGCTGAGCGTTCTCAACACACCGTGTGTGCTGTGATATCGGGATTCATCTGCACCAGAATAACGGTATATCTAACATTCAACCTCAGGATCTGTAGGCAGGATTCGTGAAAGGGTCAAACTGTTACCGCATTGCAAGCGCGGTTTTGAGACTCGGTATACACTAACATAACACCGACGGGGAGCGAGATTAGCACGATGGTTGCGTGCTCAATAAATTTCACTAGAGTGGACACGATGAAAAACGTACAGCGAAAATTAGCACCGATGGGCTGTGAAACTATATATAGGTATATAAAGACAACGAGGTGAGAAGAATGAATCCTGGAAATAGAGAGCTAGTAGACATGCATCTGTGTTGTTCAATCGTGTGCAGAGTCAGGTCAGTGATCGCTGAGCGCTTGTGTAGCATCTTATAGTTTTGTCATGGACCATTCGGGTGCGATGCGCTCCCTGTACCTGAAATCTGCAAAGTGGGTGTTTGGGAACCACTTGAATTCTGACACGAAATTCGATTCGACAATTTTCGCAGGCGAACTGTTACAATAGTTTACCACTCGGCACTCGAAACAAAGTGGGTGAGCTATTCACTTTATGTCGGGTACCAATAGCTTGTACAGTTGCCTACGTGTGTTGCTTGGTACGCACACCTGAAGCAGTGGTCACAACATAGAGAACTGGCTCAAGTGCAATATCCGATGTGTCATAATGAAGTCAACTTTAAACCGAAGATAGAACAGAGTGTACAACGCTAGTCGTCTGCATCGGTCTACCTACGGCATACCCCATCAACTGGGGATGAGCCTGGTATTCACATACTGAACACGTTCCAGTCTTTGCATCTCACCACCGGTGATCGGACAATAAGCGGGTAATCCGTACTCGAGTATCGGCCTTATGATGGACGAGAAGAGGCGTGTGTGGCAATCGCTTCGGAGCAAATTCAGAAGCTGCGTTTGAGCGCCCAAAGCATGCGTAGTAGCGCAGTACAGAGATGTTGTCTTGCTAACTAAGCAAACAGAAACACATTCGCAAGAGCTGATAGAGATTCTAGAGTGCAAAACATATGCCAAAGTGTGCAGCAATGGGCGTCAATATGGAATTGCTTGCATAGTAGCTAAACTCGATCTACGTTTGATACCCGGCCACCAAACATAACCACAAGTGCATGAGACATGGAGGTGAAGGTGGGAGAGAGCGCACCGTCCTTGTGTCAAATAGTAAAGTGATTTGCGCATGTCGTTCATTATTGGTGGTAAAACTGGTCTAGATAAGACATTAACCTTAACTCGTGTCAGAACTCGTGGTCAGTAGATGCGATCGCGTCGATGTCCCAGGCGAACTTACGGGACCGAAGGGGTCATTTTGATATACTGCGCCGGGTGAATAGCTCATTAAAGCGACTCAGTTGACATGAGTAGAAGTGAATCATCCGCGCAATTCTCACAGCTATTGCTTCGCCCAAGGGAACTAGTCTTGGATACATCCGCCTGATCAGCTGCAGAGTACTCCGGTGTTCTAAAGGTGCTGGTTTCATCCATCTCGTGAAGCTTCAGCATACTAATCACTGGTCTACAACGCAGATAGCACGGTTAAGCGGAGGTCTTTTACGATGTAGTCAGACTCACCGAAGCATCAGCGATTCGTCGATTCATTATTCAGACGCTTCATACTAAGGGGACAAGCCATCCCAACTGATATTTGTATGGCGCATTAGAAGAGATTTCGATTCGGATCTGGCTATCCCTGTTCGTACATCAGTGATACATGATGCAATAATTCGGATCGATGGTTTTACTTAACGGACTGCGAAAATAGTGGACGTGGCAGCAGCTTCGAAGTTGAACAGTTCACCAAGGCTTCAAAAGTGGCTGTTAGGTGCACACACAAGAGGGCATGGTCAGAGGGCACTCGTGCCCCAGGCTGAACGAAAACCTTACCCCTTTGCGCAGCGTGTATAATGGGTTTGTGGTGCGTCGACCAGAGGTCCAAGTGTGTGAGGTACCCGGCAGCAAATCAGTGGGAACAGATACGAGTTCTCATCTTTAGAGAGAGTGCGCATACCGCGAGCAGAACCGGGCCTATACTTCGCAAATCCACATCTCATGTGACCATATGTCTAGAACCACGGCGACAGTCGGTTGCTCCGGAATCCAATGTAGGAGATGGGGAAACCGATGTCATATGGTCACTAATTAGGTGAGTAAAAATAGCGCTGGGGTATTCTGTGTCATCGAAATAGGTAAAACATCCGAAGGTAACATTCGTAGATCTAAAATAGCAACGAAAGAATCCCAGGTAACTTAATCAAAACAACTATGCTATGAAATATAAGAACCGTCAAAAAAGCTTAACAAAGTGGTAATGTTGAGCCGAACGAGGTTTGAAGTATCAAAGCACGAAGGAGAAAACGGAAAGCACGAAATTGAGGTAAAAAGAAATAAAAGTGAGAAAAGTAAGTAAATCAAAAGGATGAAACGATAGGACCCGTATAATTGAATGGCAAAACTGATTGGTAGGGAAACACAAGAAACTGCACTGTGCATGTAAGCAAGGTTTCTTAAAGGTCCTAATAGGGGTATACCATTCACGAACCCGTCACAGGGGGGAAGCAACTGCGTTCACTCAAACGGATCACACGTAAACTGAAAATGAAGGGAACGACGACGTGACAAGCGGACCAAGTGTGGGGGATGTTAAGCATCAGTCAGGCTTTCGGGAAAATTCGGTTGCTTACGAGTTGCCGTTAGTGGCAAAAGAGACCACAGTACTAGTCCTTTCACAGAACTGCGTACCTAGAGAAAACATACTGGAATGTTCTTCCTCAGCAAAAAATAATGAGCACAGAAGAACTGGATACCCGCGCATCGCAGATGGTAAAAACAACCAGAATGCGTTGACCGTAAAATGAAAAAGGCTGTATGTGTACCTGTTTAGGTTTAAGCGAGATTTGAAGTTAAGGAATGCAAGCGAGTAAAAAGCACTGGCAACTTCATTGAGTAAAAAACTCTGGAATGTCAAACAGCATTGAAATAGAAATGATACTTGGACTAGATATCAGTTGTTGTTGAGATGCATACTGATGACATCCGTTGAATGATGACACATCGAAAGTGCGAAAGGAAAATGGCGATATAAAATTCAACAGGGACTTACCTAAAAACTCTGCTGTCGACTACGTACATCAGATTCTCAATCGGGTCTATGCGGAGGTCCAATCCAGTCAGCGGAGTGGAAGAAGCAATGTTGCTAACGAAGGACGATCGATGATAATCGAAGCGAGCTTCCCGGAAAGTGTTGACAGCCAATAAATGAAGCCTAAAAAAGAAGTAGGGTTATCAGAAACAGCAGGGAAAATGCGCAATACGGCATTGTACGTTCTGGGGATATCACAACCTACGAAGCGGAAGAAAAGTAGATTTCGCGTGTTCAGCATGCAAGGATGAAGCGAACAACTGGATGGGTTCAGTTCAGTTGAACAACTATGATTTGGGAACAGAAGTGCGGTGGATCCAGTTGACACGACTCGCATCGCCAGCATGACAAGAAAAAAAAACAAGGGCAAGAAAATGGGGCTGAATGCAACTATAATAAAGTGATAAGTGTGTTAAACTGATCAGGATGGAAATTAAACAATCAGATGCAGAAAACCGAATGCAGGAATGCCACTGCTTGCGCAACTGTGCCGTGTCCGATAGAATCCCAACCACAGATGTGGATCCTCCCACGGTAAACTGTGTTGGGACAGCACTCGGTTGTTCCCAATCACGGGTCTCGTGCCACTAACTAAAGTTCCGTCTATTCGAAGTTACGGACAGGATGGAACCTGTTTACATCTTTCTATCCAAATGATGAATGCCTTAGACACATTCACACTTCGGACATCTCAAGTTGGACGCATAGCAGGTGTCAAAAGCAATCTTCATGGCAGGCTTGATATGATTTCAGTTAGCGTTAAACACCAAACTAATGCATCACAAACGATTAATGAGCTATTTCAGAAAAGTTGGTAGACGATCGATTAATATGTTTATAGTGATACACAACGTTTCGCTTTTGACACAAAAGCTTCATCGGTCTCCCAAAGATGCACAAGCCCAACGTCCCCTTGCGATCTATAGTGGATGGCATAGGCTCTCCCACACATGAACTCGCGAGATATCTGGCGAGCCTGTTGCAACCCCTAACAGGGTTGGATGAAGCTTTTAGGTCAAAAGCGAAATGTTGTGTATCAACATAAATATATTAACCGGTCGTCTACCACATTTTCTGAAATGATGACTTCCCGATCGGTTCCAAATATGTTACAAGAATAAATGAGCCAGTTTGTTATTATATTGTTGCACTGCAGACTGTGAGTTCCAGTTACAAGTGGGAAGCTTAGAAGTCAGGTGCTTCTTTGAAGCGGGAAAAGTGGGCGCCAGGCGTACGAGCACTAGTACGGTCGGCATCCAGACACGCGCTATAAATCCTCGGAAAAAGCCATCAGTGCATAAAAGAAAAGCCAAGAAAGCCAGCGCACTGAGGATTCAGAAACTGCTGTATGATACAACATGTGGTGGAATACAGAGAACGTTGTGTTAGAGAATTAAGAAGAAATCAGGAAAGAGACATTTCCGAGGATTACATCATAGTCATCTATGGCTGAGGAGGCCAAATAGAAAATAAAAGAAAAGCACTATACTTAGTGACAATGGATAATAACGCAAAATGTTAAATGAAGAGCAAACAAGGAAACACGACGAAGGTACCAGACTCACTCAAATGCAAGTTGTGCTGCACTAAAGCGGAACAAAAGCTATTCCCAGGTTCAATGATGAATATCAGGGATCATTATGGCAAGAAATCGACAAAATAGTTTGGGAAAAGTAGAAGTGTTGAGAGTAGTGGGGGGTTTGTTGTTGCCGAGAAGATTCATCGCAGAGAGATTCAGTCAGACAACCACTAAACAATCAAGAAAGCGATAGATGGCCAACCAGTCTTATCGGGCTCCGTTATTAGCGCGCATCCGCCAGAGTCTACTGTATCTGAACACAACGACTTAAATCACTGAGCCATGGGTGGGCGGCGGACTAGCATGACGGTTTTTTGAATGCGATATCACGTAGATCATCTCCCACTGTCAAGCAAGCTACGAACATGTAGAGGACAGTGCTGGAATCCAGTTACGACTGCCTTTGCAAGCTACTACCAATCTAGGTGACATGTAACCCAGTAATATGATTGCAGATTATTAAGGGGTGATAAGGCGGTTATTGTTTTGAGATGCGTTACTTATCTAAGGAGTTGCATCACGTCTGGTGGCGGTGTTAGAGATGAAGTCTCACAACGGATTGCAAAGGCCCACCTCGCATTCATCAAACTGAGACACCTATGGCGTCCTCGTGATAACAGTCTCAGGCTCAAGGACAGGGTGTACAATGCTTCCGTCCGTGCATTACTTTTGTACGGTTGTGAGACGACCTTATCGCTTGGAAGACATGAAGCGGTCGTTAGTCTGACAATCGCTGTCTACGAAGGATTGCTGGGGTGTGGTGACAACACCACGTAAGCAACGCAGAGGTGCGAGACCGAGTGCCAGAAGCGAGTAGTGCCAGTCTTCAAGAAGTTATTCTCCGACATCGTTGCGTTGGCACGGACACCTGCGCATGCCAGTCTATCGCCTTCCCGGCCGAGCGCTATTTGCACTCCCATGGAGCGATTGGAAAAAGTGCCGCGGTGGACAGCCAATGACGTGGAGAAGGAGCATGAAGAAGTCAACCTCAAGTTTGGCGGCAGTCAGACCAGTCAGTCGTCCAGGTTCGGGACCAGGAGATGCTGAATCGCAGTGGTTGGAAACATTGGACGTCATGGCCCGCAACAGACATCAGAGGCGGCAACGTTGTCTTACCATTATATCCCCCCTTTAATACATATAAAAAATGCACAAAAGGAAAACGAAAAATACAAAATGGCGTATGTAAAACCAAAAAAATCGTTTTCAATTTTTTAAAGTCGCAGTTCGTGTTCCTATCTTCTCCACTTTTTTCATCTGCCATGGTTCTGATGGCACAATGTCTGTTAACAGACTATGAATATATATATATATATATATATATATATATATATATAGTTTTGAGAAGCTTTGTCGCAGCTAGACTGCGTAGGCTAATTTGTTGAATGCTGCAATGGGGTGAGATCGTAAGAAGCGAGTGCAATTGTTCAAAGATAACCATAAAGGAAGGGTTCAGAACAGCAAATAAGCCATCAATTGTAGATACGGTGCTCATGAACGAGGATCTCACGGTCGATGGGCTAAAAGTATGCAGTCTTTTGGGTCGAGGTGATCTCGTAACTTTCTGTACGATTACATTTGCTACGCCGAATGTCCCGATGCAGAGCCCGAAAGGATGCAACCTGTTACGCATTAGCACGTATTGTCCGCATCCGTTGAAAACGCTAGTTGAACATCCATGACTGAGTGTACCCCAGAAACATTCTTGAAAACCAAGCCATTAACCGAGGAAGCAACAGTCAAGAGCTTTCTATCGCCCCCTCAAAAAAGCCTTCTAAGTAGAAGAACACGAAAATTTGAGGTCTTGAGCAAACGGACATGGAGCCTGTATGAAAACAATCCCAGCACAGAATATTGGACAGCGTACATTGCTCGGCGCAATTGTTCGGTACAACTGGTTCGTGGAGACAAGATAACACATCACCAAGTGTTAGAGTAACGATTCTGTTCCGGCCACAATCTTCTTTATGAAGACATAAATAGACTGCGTAAGGTGCACCGCGGAATCCAACCACTCACTACGATTGGTGGGTATACACACACTGCAAAAGAGGCGGCCAACCCCTTACGGGCCGAATATTTACCTACTTTCAAGTGGTGCAAGCTCCGTAGGCTGTTTCTGCTTCTGTCACTCCACCAGCAGTCTTATACAGCGTCACAATGCACAAACGGTGCTGCTATTGTTGCGTACATACAGCTCTCCTGAAGCAGATAACATTCACTCCAAAGCACTGCAGGTAGCAGACATGCACCTAGCTGAACCACTAGCTGGATTCTTTCAGCGTTGTCTAGACGAGAACGTAGTTCCGTCAAAGTGGAAACCAGGTATCATAACCCTATTCACAAGGGTAAAAGTCGGTTTGATCCTGCCAATTACCGCCCTGGGACGCCTCTCCCCGTGCTCGAAAAAATCATGGGAGCGATCATCGCAGGGGTACTGAATACTGAATACGGGATTGTGGAGCAAGTAGAAATGAATTCTGTACAACTCCTTCGAAATATGGTAAAAACGTCATAACAATTCCCAGCCGTAAATATAGTTATCGTTCTCATGTAACACTTAAAATATCTGACACGGTATTGCAGGACTCACAAAGGTAAGATGTCATCTTAAGTGTGCAATCGTTCTCTGAATCGAATAGTTGTAAAATATAAAAAGAACAACGTTTTAAACTGCTGCACTGATGTTGCCTCCATCACATGTTCAGGCAAACTGTACAAAATATTTACCACTCTCCCTTCGAAGCACAGTGGGTGGGGAACATGTTTCACATCCGGCACGACAAGTTTATATGTGTCCACGTGTGCTGCATGATTATTGTAAGTGCAGCATTGCCCTCAGCATGGGGAAGCCACCGATATGTAGAATACGGTAAGTCATAATGAGGTCGACTCGCACCCGACGGTAGGACAAGGTGTAGAGTCCTAGTTTCTTGCACCGATCTTCATACCCCAGGCCACCTAAACGCGGGATGAGCCTGGTAGCAACATGTTGGACCCGGTCGATCTTCTGTACCTCGCCTCGGGTAATCAGAAAGTAGATGGACGAACCGCACTCTAGCATTGATCTAATGATGGAAGAGAAGGGGCGAGTGGCAACCTCTTCAGACCATGTTCCGAAGCAACATTTGAGCGACCAAAACATGCGCAGTCCGTTACGATATAGCTTGTTCGTGTTGTCCACCGACTTCAAATCATAGAGCGATAGTACACCTAGGTCCTTCACGGAGGGTGTGGGATATAGCGGCTGGCCATCAAGAGTGTAGGTTCGGCCGTCAGCACGCTTCCCCAGGCTCATAAATACAGACTTGGCTGGATTGACCGGGAGAAGAACTTATGTAGACCATGTGGATAGACGGTTGAGGTCTTGCTGAAGTAGGCCACAGTCATCGGGAGCAAGATATGATTACTTGATCCGCCGTCAGATGGTAGTCGGTAAAAGAAAACGCCATACAGGAGACGGGATAAAAAATGGTTAACTTGGCGAAACTCGAATAGTGACGTGCTCATGCAAAGTCAGAAAAGAGATGAAAACAGTTAGATGAATGCAGTGGGGTGACGCGGGAGTAGTAGAGTAGTGGTGAGGACAGTCCATTAAAGTAGACCGAGTGTGACAAACCGAAAACATAAAAAATACAAAAGGACTGACTTCCGAGGCATCACAAGGTGCAGGCGACGCCAAAGGTATTCCAAAACAGAGGCAAAGCGACGGTTCAGGGTAAACAGCGGATGGCGGTTGGCAACCAATAGCAAGCGCACACTTTGGCGCCCCAAAACCGAGCCGTGAGGTAGTATGTTGTCCACATTAGTAGAACGAATGCTTCGACGTAGCTGATAGAGCAACGAAATCAGCTTCTTGCTGGCCACGCGGTAGTGGACATTGTGAACGTCCCCACGGGAGGAAGAAAAGTGAGCAAGGAGCGTTTCGAAAGCTGTGGGACAAATGTAAGGTGCTTTTATCAGGGAAACGGAATTCATCAAGGGGTTGAAGAATGGGCGTAACAAGAGATCCCATTAGTGACACCGAAACGATAACTAACACGAAGAGTGCTGAGTCCGCTCCCCATTGCTTCATTGTAATCATTTACAAATCCTGCCGTCAAAAGAACGAGTACAGCTCGTTGTGTACGCTTTGTTAAAGTTAGGAGACCTAGGAAAACGGGTTCGCTTAGTTTAACCACTCAATGTAGAAAGAGGACCTAAGAGTGGGCTCTAAAGACCAACATGTATGCAAGTCTTAAGACAGATGCAATCGATACACGCCGTCCATCGGCGAAGTGAGTAGAAAGCTATAGAAGTGAGAGTGGCATAACAGTGCCAGGTGATATCAAAATACTGAGTAATACGGTGGGATGCATAAACCGAGGTCAAAGAACTTTTTGAAAGCAAAAAAGGCATCAAGCGTTATGTGAAAGTACGAAGTAGCTAGGTACACGTAATATCGCAAAGCTTCGGACATGGTACATAGAACAACAAAATGTAGATCACAGCGACATTAGGCTAACGCTTCACGTAAACTGGCAGATTGTAACTGCCGTAGTTCTATACTTAACGTCAAGTGAGGCATTATAAATGCCACCAAGGACATCCATACTGCAGAGGCTAATGGCACAGTATCAACATCATTTTCATTAAAGATCTGGACACAAAGCGACCCTAAAGCAATCACCTACAAAGGGTGCAAGGCCGGGTCCGCAACTGAGGTGGTATTGACGAAAGAGTCGGATGAACGAAATACTAATTGGAAATGTCCCCAATACACATCAAAGAGGGATTTCAAAGATAGTTGCCACGTAGCTTACGTCGTTCGAATGGTAGACGGAGTTAAGTCTAACTAAAGCGTAAAGGATAGTGTGCTATCGGGCAATCCATTCCGTATTGCGCGTAGTACAACAGAACGACAGTTAACCGGAGAGGTCTTCCGATGGACTACAAGTGCTGTTGAATGGCGACTGGTTGCGAGATTGAGCAGAGCACCTTCGCAATTCAGCGACGCATGTGTCCAACAACGCATCCTTGTGTGAGAAACAATGGATAGATGAGCAAGTGATTCACCCTTCGCAATAAGGAGTCCCACGTTCTAATAAGCAATTCGATAAACAAACAAACCGGCCTACTGCGTAAACAATATTATTTTTTCCACAGTAGGGGACCGAGGGAATGCGCACCACAGACGAGCCCCAATAGGGTGAAACGCGTCTAGTGCTTTCCCGGACTAGGCTGTGCTATGTAGATTGTGAGCAGCTAGGACGAAAAGATTACAATTAAAATCTACTCATTAGTAATATTATTTTTGTTAGCTCACCCCAATTGAGATGCTAAGGGAAAATTCAAGCATGCAGGAGATCCGGCGGGAAATGTGCACATGAAAGGACCAAAACCCTTGGACGCATAACTAAGACAATAACGACTCGATTGAGAAACGTCTAGTTAAGCATTTCACACTCTGGTGGTTGCCATCATCCACGTCATTCATAGAAATGGTTTAGAATCCATCCTGTGCAAATTATCGATGCACTGGTGTCAATATCATTAGCTTCACATTGCTAGTGCATCACGTGTTGGCGAATCATTGATCCCAATGAATACCGAACATAAGGAGAGCAAAATTTGCATCAGAGATGGCAGAAGTTACGTTGGCTATACGAGGGTAATTCGTGAGGTTTTTGAACAACTTCACATAAGCAGTAATTAACGGCGGGGTTTGATTTCAGTAAACTTGATTACCATTACGCGATGTTCATTTTTCACGAGTGTTGCGAAAAAACTGTGTTCTGTCTCATAATTTTTAGGCTGTAGTTCCATGGAGAGTGTCTGAGATGATGTAGACAGTGACAAAACATTGGGCGACGGTAATGATATCTTGATGCTAAAGATAACCGATTGTGTTATTCATCTAAACCAACCATCTGGAGCTTAGTAACGGCAAATTACAGCTTTTCAAGGCTAGATGTTAAGATCACAGAGAAATTGAGTTCACAGCAAGGCAAAGAAGAAATGATATTAAAGAAAGTTAGCTGTAAATCTTAGCACAGTAAAATGTTGTATAAATTGCCTTGGTGGCATTTAGAAATTGTCACAAAAAGCAGGAATTTGTAATGGTAGAATATAAATCACACTAGTTCGAGCTTCGAGTAACGACAAAAATGACTTTTCCGCCTCGGGGAGAGAAATGGAGATTGTGTCGAGTGAATAACCGTTAACTCTTAGTATAGGGAGCAGTCACCAGACTACGTGCTAATGAGGCAACCAATGATAGTATGGAGATCAGTAGATAAATGCCACTAGATATAATAGGTGACAGGCAGAAAGATGATGCTCAAAATATGTGACAAAATCGCCAGTTCATCGGATAAAGGCCAACGCCACCGTCAAAAGTCCCGAAATTGGACACAACAACGTGTGGAAATACGAGGAATGCAAGTAAAGCAGTCATAATGATGGAACTATCGTGATACAAACTGATTTCTCTGAGAGCTTAGAGTTCGTCTAGAGGAAAAGCCGCGTCCACAAGTGTGCATTCAATAAGTTAGAAGTAATGGAAAACCATTGCAGCAACCCGCCAAGACAGTTCAACATGAACACCGCAAGTACAGAGAGCGCATTCAATTGGGAACGCCATCGGAGATAACACAGAATCGCGCTCAATAGTGGGATTGTAACAGGGCTCTTCTCCACCTCACTGTCGTAACTCATCTCCGTTGATCACTATTGTCTATATTTTTGGCAGGCCGCCAAATTATATATATATATATATATATATATATATATATATATATATATATATATATATATATGGGAGAGTTTACCTCAAGTGTTTCGATTCTAAGAATACGCAATTCGCCTGTTGTGGTCTATATTCACAAAAGATTAAGCGGATATCCAGAAAAAAGAAACGGCTTGGGTACGGGAGAAAGACTCCACCCCAGAATTCCACCTATCACACAAGGGAAATAACTGAAAGACGCAACAATCTCATGTGGCGGAAACAACAGCATTTTTTAAGGGGAACGATGCGTAAACAATCAATGTTGGGAGACTGCCCAGCAAAATGGAACAGTGAAGGTTCGGGGCAGCTGTTTATGTTGCCTGTAGGGAAATGTTTAAAAGGTGATTCCCATGACAGCAGACAATTACTAAGTCAGTAAAGCAACCCATATCTGTGTCCCTGGACGGATATATTGTCAAGCGGTCCACCGAAATGGCAGGCTGACACGTTCAAGAAAAGGAGTCAGCAGAGGTTGCGACGAATTGCGGAATTGGAAAGTACCTATTACAGATGGTGGATAATTAGAACATCACACCAGAAAGGTCTAAACAAAGTTAGTGCGAAGTGCAGAATAATTTCGAAGTGACGGCGCAATATTTACAAGGAAGTGACAACCAAAATCAAAAGTTGAAAAGTAACTTACCTTCGTTCAAATCGCTTGGGGTGCATATACATGGGATTTCGTCAACATAATGGTATGACAATGCTGAACTGTCGTATGTACATGCAGGCTGAACAGTGTTTAAACCGCCATCCAGGTGCAGTGACTCCATGAGTTCAGACTCTTCAGGGAACCAAGTGGGATCCAAAAGCAGTTCGTCTTGAATCATCATCTCCCCAACAGTGAAGTAGGGAAAGTGATTGGTGACAAGTCTGTAAGAATGCGAATGAAACGAGATGAGTCAAAGAAATGAACAAAGAATTACCGCAAAAAATCAGGGCAGAAGTCAAAATAGCATACCCAGCAGAACATAACAATGGTCAGCTATAATAACTGTAAACCGAAAGGCAGTTCCGGCGTAAAATAGGAATAATAATGGAGGAGAGAAGACTTGGGATTAAGTTGTACAGAAGGAAAATGCAGAAAATCTAGTTGATAATTAGCGCCACAGTTGAGCGGAGGTGATTAGAGGGCGCCTGCTGCTAACGCCGAACAAGAAAAGCCGAAACCTAGTTGTATGGGTAAGGGAAGTGGCATTAAACAAAAGAAATGCAAAGGTTGAATTAGAACGGACATGTGAACACAGAAGTCAAGACATAATCGTTTAAGCGCCAGAGCCATGCAATCGCCGACTTAGCCTTGTGACATGAGATTCGAACTGGGGGATAGTTGTTAAACGAGTTCACGTATTCCCAAAAGAAAGCGCACGTAAGCACGGCGGAAACTTGTGTGATATCTGGCTGAAACACTGATCGATGTTACACAACGACCAAGCACAGCCACTGTGCCGAAATTAACTCATCGTACATGCAAAAGCAATAAATCGGCAAAATAGCAGTGCATTTTGTAAGTTCAAGAACAAGTATCACATATAGGAAAGTTGGACTGTAATCGCTCATCGTAGCGTGCGCTTTGAAAAGGCTTTTACTATGGAGCAAGCCATAACACAAGATGGGAAGTGCCAAGGCAAAAAATAATGCCAGGTACCCACCAAACGAGGACATTGTTGATACAAACATTTAAAGATAAGTAACTGCCAAGAGAAACCACATGTTAAGTGTTCCACGATGACAGTTAAACGGCAAGATCAGCCAGAATAAACTACAGCACAAGGGAACATCCACGTCCCTCAATGAAATTAAGGAAGCCGCACTGGATGAGCGCAACGGTAGAAGGCACTGTTTTCACTGGTCAACAATGAAATGCTGATTTTAAAATGGCCTGAAATAATTTGGTGTGCTGATGATAAACTGAAAACGGAAAATTTTCACTAGTTCCCGTTTAAAAACACTTCGCGCAGTTCCTTTTCAATGTTTTACCGTATAGATTTATCCACTAGGACTGTAACATCCTAGATAGAAGAATAAATGGCGTGATCACAAGAAAAAACTGCAGTATTTTCGGTGGGCAACACCCAATTTACATCTGTCAACGCTATGGTTCTAGTGTTCGAATTGATCAAGGTTCAATTCAACGCGAATCCCAGTCCCCATTAAGATTTCCCGTCGCAACTCAATCACAGGAGTACGACAAACATCGTAAACAAGTCTAGAATGTTGCAACATTGCACCATATTGCATGAGGTCATCGTCCACACATCATACAACGTTTATTGGATAAGTCTGACCATCCATGTCAGCTTTGTGCGTGTAACCCGACCAGAGCGAAGGCTTCCTGCAAGCCGTTCCTGACCTGCACTATTTCCAGCGATGTAAAACAGGGATGCCCGTTATCACCTTAAATGAGATATTTTTAGGCTAGATAAATTTAATTCCACTATATTTGGCTTGTTCTACCTACCTGAATAATCTTCTATTAACTGGCCACGGTGCTTATGTTCAAGGTGGTTATCTACGCTAACTTTATTGTGTGTCGCACAATTAAAGTAACGAATGGACATTCTGTACTTGCCGATTATTCCTTGCTAACCAACAAACTTCATATGCTAATTTATGGAAGAGTTATGTCTGCATAGCCGTATTCTTTAACAGGTATATTTTATTTGAGGATGTCATTTAAAATGATTGGCTGTAGTTTGACAAACCCTTGTGGCTGCGCTTCATGTGTATGTTTACAAGGTGCCTACCTGTGTATTACCCACTACATCATGAATACTGGCTCCAGGATACAGTTGGTCGTTGTTAGAGGGGACGAGGTTTACGGTCCTTGTGGCCGCGATAGGCTCAAAGGATGGTTCCGTGCACTCAGAGTAGAGCAGACCACGGTACAACCACCGCCTTGTGAGCGCTTGATTCCCAAATACAGCGTGCTTGTGTTTACCTGTGAAGGAGTGCGGGCAGGCTCCGTTGATGAAACCTGGCTCCAATTCCCAACCCTCTCGGTCTCATTCCCCGGATTTACACGGGATATGGGGTGTGTGGTTGGAGCCGTAGTTGGTGCAGCGCAAGTCACCCGTGGTCTTTCTGTAGACGCAGGCGTCCGCTGGCTGTCCCAGTGGAGGCCACAGTGACAGGAAAATCGGAAACCGACTGTCGCCACCCATGTATGTAGCTGTAGCGCGAGAGCCTATGGTGCGCTGAGACTGGCGGTGGCAACATCCTGACAGACGGTCTACCCATTGCTGCTACTGTTGTGCCATGGGCTCATGTCCTGGACGCCTCCTCGTGGCGACCGCTGGTTGGGAGTTGGGTTACGCCCTTCTCCCTGCTAAGATCCAGGACACCAAACAGCATGAGTCAGTAAAGCGACCGTGTGCTAGACCTGCTGCCTTTCGGGTGTACATTTAACCGAGGGCTTTGGCTGAGGACTCGAGTCTTTCTCCTGTCAGGTGTGGGCGCCATGTCAGTATCCTAGTCCATCCTCTTCGGAGGTTAAGAAGTCGTCGATGGCCCTCTTCCCGTAAAACCTAGCCATGGGAGACAACAGGTCTACGGGTTATAAGCTCACAGCTCGATTGGCGTAGAGCACGAGCGCAACATATTGTCTTTGAAGGTGCGGGGCACTTCCGAGTGTTCAATGGCTTGTTACTGCCCGCCTCAAGTGAAACAGCCACTGGTCCAATTGGTGCAAACCCGCCAAAACCTACCTGCGTCTGGCCGTGGTCGCAAGTGTATCCCATTACGGTCGCAAAACACATATGAACCGATCCAGTAACTCAAAGGCTGAGTGCGACGGTAGTCAAGCAGATCGCAATCTGTCTTTGCAATCACATTCCAGCGCTGGATCTTCTCCCCACTGTCTCGTGGGTCGCGCTATTGAGCCAAAGACTCCGGGTGGAGTCCATCAAGCAAACCTCCGAAGCACAACCGCCAATCTCGCGTGCGATTGCTAACCAATGCAATCGTATACCTGCGCGCAAAGTACTCACCATCGGGAGCTGGAACGTGCGCAAACTACTGGACCGGAACTCCACTGAGCGCCCCGAGCGACGCACTGCACTGGTCGCAATGGAACTGGCTCGCTACAACATCGATATTGCGGCGCTCAGTGAGACTCGGTTTGATGAGCAAGGTACGTTGTATGTAGTAGGTGTTGGCTACACATTCCAATGGGTGGGCAACCCCGCCTCAGCACCACGTGAACACGGGGCAAGATTTGCAATATCCGATCGCCTCCATAGCCAACTGGTGGGTGAACCAACAGGCATCAGCGCGCGACTGATGACTGTTCGCCTACAACTCGAAAGAGGTAAGTTTGCCACGCTTATAAGCACTTACAGCACAACCATGCGTCATCCTGATGACACACGTGATCAATTCTACACTCAGCTATACTCCGTGATACGGTCTGTGCCGAGGAGCGACCGACTATTTATGCTGGATGATTTCAACACGCACGTCGGATGTGATGCATCGGAGTGGAAAGATGTTATCGGTGCGCATGGCATTGGTTCAGCGAATGCGAACGGTGACAGGCTGCCCTCACTGTGGGCCACTCACGGCCTAACGATCACGAACACTCGGTTTGCACTGAGTGCGAGTGATATAGCAAATTGGACGCACCCACGGAGTGGTCACGATCACCTGCTCGACTATGTCATCGTACGTCAGCGTGATATGCGTGAAGTGCGCATGACACGTGTACTGCGTGGAGCAAAGTGTGGCACTGATCACAAATTGGTGCGGACCAAACTGTACATATATTTTCGTAAATCTATGTATTGCACTCCCGCCGTGAATCGGCGTAAATTTAACATTCTCTCCCTCGGTACAGTGGCGAAACGTACTGAGCTGGAGAAGGCGATGGCTGCACGCCTGTGTGGTGATGTGGACTGCATAGCCACAGTGGACGACCTGTGGCACAACATTCGTGATCAGGTGACAGCTGCTGACGAGGAGATCATCGGGCACGCAAATTATAAGTGGCCTAATTGTTTTGATGAGAACAATACGAAAATTGGCGCATTGGTGTGTGAAAAGAATGCAGCATTTGCTGCACATGTGGCGGACCCGAGTGACTTGGGGAGGAATAGTCAGTTTCGCAAAATTCGACGGTGGTTGAACCGAGAGCTCCGTCGCATTAAAAATGCATGGTGGACAGAGAAGGCGAAGCAGATGGAATGCTACGCCTAACGTCGCCAACACATGGAATTCTATAACTTCTTGAAGGCTGTGTATGGTGAAAACAATTTGTCTCTTGAACAACCGTTCAGAGAGCGAATGGTCTACATTGAACTGCCTGTAGCAGCACGATGTGAAGGCGCATCTGGCGGATACGCCGACACTAGATGAGAAGCAGAGAACACTTGCTCAGCTGCGAAACGGCAAATGTGCCGGAGGTGACGGGATCCCACCTGAAGTATTGAAACACGGCAGACCCGCGTTGTTGACCGCACTGCACCACTTGGTGCAACGTGTATGGATTGTGGAGGAGGTGCCTCAAGAGCAGAAGGATGCCCTTGCGCTACCGTTGTATAAGGGCAAATGTAGCAGGCAATGTTGCACGAATTATCGTGGCATCAACTTGCTGAGTTGCGTGGGCAAGGGGACTGTCTGAATGCTGCTCAACCGCTTCGTCAGTCGGGTTGTGGAACCTAACGTAGCGGAAGAGCAATGTGGATTCCGCGCGGGTCGCAGCACTATAGATATGGTGTTTGCGGCTCGTCAGTTGCAAGAGAAGTGCAGAGAACGACACCATCCGTTGTACTCGCATTTTGTTGATTTCACCAACGCATTTGATACGGTGAACCGGGAGGCATTGTGGCTGATGTTGGGTAAGTTTGGTTGTCCCAGTAAGTTTAATTGAATGTCTG